ATGTAAAAATCTAGTCAGTCAAAATTGCATGTACTTACGGTAATTTGTTTAAGAGTTGCACCAAAAACCAAAATTGGTTTTTTCGAAAACAGATTTGAGTAAAAATTTCCGTTTTTCCTTAATTTTTCTTTGGTTTGTCAAGGCTCTTTTGAAAACTACATTATATCATTGTTAAATCAATACTTATTTATCGTTTCACTCAGAATTTAAAATGCGGGTATGGTATTTGTAATGCAATTTAAAACAATAATGCGGGTAATTCCGTAGTATAATGTGATGCAGGATAAGGTGATAAGTTTTTTTTTTTTGTATCGTACTGCATCTTGCAAAATATATAGCCCGGACGAATACATATTTTTTACGAGACAAAAAAAATGTCCGGGAGTGTCGTATAATAATATACGCAGTGCATAATATATTATATATAACAACAACCACAATAATGTTATACAATATACAGCACCGTTTCGGTAGATTATTTCCACGTTGTTTATAATATCATTTAAATACGTATATATTATTATAATATTGTACAATATATTCGTCATGACGATGTTTATACCGGAACACGAAATTATATTATGCAGGAAATTATACGTGCGGCGGCGGCGGCGGCGGGCGGCGGCTATTGGCGTTGTAGGAAACGTGCTGCACACCACCCCTCCCGCACCACTACATCGCGTAATAATGATAATAATAATAATAATAATATAACGGCGACGACGAATGAGCCGAGTACACAATATTGCGTACATCTACGACGCGGGGTGACAGGGTGCGGTGGAGGTTGTCCTCGGTGTGGGGGTGGCTTTTAATAACGACAACCACGACGACGGTGACGGTTTTTGTTTTGTTTCGTTTCGTTATATATATATATTTTTATTTTTATTTTTTTTGTTTTCAATTTTTCCCGTAAAACCTTAAAAGTAAAGAGTCAACGAGTAGTTTTCGCCTGCGGGGCGGTGGCGTCGGCGGGGGTGGTGCGAGTATATACAGTTTCGAATTACACAAACGTCCCCCGGGGCCATATAATGATGATAAAACCCGCGCGCGTGCGGTCGCGTGCAAGAGCTGTATAACAAAATCAATTACCGTTCCGCGGGCCGAGACACCCTACACATATAGCGCATCGGCCGCCCCAAGCGCGGACCCATTTGATGTTGTTTTTCACCACCACCACCGTCACTGTTATATTATTATGCTATATAATATATAGCCGAAGAGTTCATTCCGTTCATTTTCAAACTCTCTCTCTCTCTCTCTCTCACTCACTCGAGGTGCTTCGGTATCGTACAATAAAATAATATATAATAATATATGTATATTATTTAAGCATTAATAATACTGTTATTATAATCCGTCGAGCGAAAACACGCCGCGCCGCCCCTCACCACCAGAGGTTTATCATATTATTGTACTGTTATCGTGTGCACATTATAATATATTACACATCATAATATTATTATAAGCGTTTTGTATATATTTAAAGTATATTATACTATATATACTATTATACGATGATACATTCTCTCGAAGACGACAACGATGTAGTGTTACAATTACTGTTGTTGTATATTTACAATAGGCGTAAATGAGTAATATTTAAAATATTGAATAAAAGTAAAACACTATTTGCCATTCTTTTCCCTCGATGTTATTATCATAACTAGTAACTATTTACAAATTCTCCATTTGTTTTTCTTTAAAATGTGTGTTTAAGGCACTAATTTAGTGAATTAATTCACATAAATTAGAAAGTGTTTGAAAATAATGTTGCTCTATTTTACAATAGAAGTAATATAAAAAAACGAATTTTTGAAAAATACGTAACGGTTTCAAAAAAAATACCCACAAAAATAGTTTTAAATTACAATAAAATAACTAAAATCCTTATTCTTTGTCTAAATATCGATATATTCGTAAAAATTTGAACTTAAAATGTCAATAAAAAAATAATATGTATTATAAATATACAGGGTGATTCATTAAGCGTAAAACACGTATTATCTCAAAAAGTATTAAAGTTTTTGAAAATATTTTTTTGCATAGTTTGAAGTTGTTAAAAAACAACGTTTTTATTAAAAAAATCATATTTTTATATATTTTTTATCCTTTACGTTTTTTACTTTTTCGAATGACAGCATAGAGTTTTTATTTCATACTTCAAAGAAGAATATTATTCTTAGTATTTCGATTCATAAAAATCGAATTTAGGACGAGTAAATTATGAATTATAAGTATTTAAAGTTTAGATGTTTGGAGTGGAGTGGTATGGTGTTACCCCGCAAAATGTTTGTGCACTACTCTGAGTGTCAAACTTTAAATACTTATAACCAGGCTGGTGCAACTCAATAGGAGCGTTTTGTACCGTATAGATTCTTCGTACAACCACCATTAGCGCTGTATGTCTCGGCTGCGGTCGGGCACCGTTGCACCGGTCATGCGCGATGCGCCTGGGCTTCACTGTGCTTGGCGACGTTGGACTTGGCCGTTAGCGAATATTTGAATTTGTCATGTGTTTCGGTTACTGACTTTATATTCTCCGTCCTCGATTTTTTTTCTTAATTTCTTATATTTTTTGTAAGCTATTAAGTATTATTGCTATTTGCTATTTTTCCTCGAAAGTCGCAATTCTGTATCGGTGTTGTCTATATATCATATATAGTATATAATATACTTAATATTATACTCCTTAGTCCTTTGTTAATTGTTTATGATGCCATCTAAGAACGTTTCAAAGTGTGTTGTACATGGCTGTAAATCCAAAGGTATGTATTTTATATTTTTAAATAACTAATATGTACCTCCTAATTTTCTGAAATAATTTATAATTATATACAATAATAATAGAACAACATTTTTTTCTTAACACGTTGACGGACAATCGATCAATTTTACTGCATACCTATCTATTGAACAAAATGGTACTTTCAACATCAATGTGTTAACTTGTTATTCATCGTTTTGCTTTGAATCATAGATTAGTATACATTATATTATAATATAATATAATAAAACGAATGCACTGTAGGTATTTCCATTTCCAATTATATAATATGAAAAAGATAAAGTTATCTTTAACATTTGTAGACTTTAAACATAAATCAACAACATAATGGGTATTTTTTGACAATTGATAATTTATTGTCAGATATTGTATACAGTTAATAATCAAATAAGTACTTAAGATAAGCATAATATTATATTTGTTACTATTCTTGATGTAGGTACAATTACCCTTACAATTACCATTTAATTATCTGCTGCTTTTCCTATTTTGATTAGATGTGGTCTGCCATCGATTTCCAAATCCACGTTCTGATATGCCCAGACTTATACAATGGATTAAAATTGTAGGTTTAGATAACATAGATCCAAATACTGTTTATAAAACAAAATTTATATGTGCTATGCATTTCACACCAGACTGCTCAAGTCCAGGGACCAAGCGACTTAATGCAAATGCATACCCGCTTATTAATTTACCAAGTATGTATTAACATTTAACCATTTTAACATTTTAGTAATAAATGTCTTTTGTATACCTGTAGAAACCAACATAAGCATACCCAAGACACTAGTGTCCCCTATTAATTTGGCTGTAGTGTCAAACAATGATGGTAAATAATAAAACTTTATCTGGTTAACTTGATTTTTACTTGTTTATTCATCATAATATGCTTGTATAATATTTATTTTATTAACACTAGTTGAGCATATGCATCTTGATGAAAGTTTTATGTCTGGTTTCAATGTATTGGATGAAGTATTGACAGGTAAAGTAATTCATTTTTATTTATAATCAATCTATACTTTATTTATTTTTTATTCTTTTTTAAATACCAACTTAATTGCCCAGGTAAAAATATATCTGACCATTGAGTTGATTCACCTACTCATTCTTTTTGAAATCAGTATAATTTAACAATATAAGTATTAGTACACCTACCTAGCACAATAATAATCACAAATAAAATGGTAAATTTGTAGTTAGACATTAAGATACCTTTTTTTAATTTTTACATTTCGGTGTTGGCCCAAAATAGTATAGACCACCTACCTAATAAACTAATTATTTTATACATTTTATATGAATACAATTGTTTTTAGTTTCTGATCCAAGTTCATCTGTGTCACACAATAATGACAGAGAAGTACAAAGTTTAAGTATGAATCGTGTTGACATTGACCTTGATTTATCATTTATGTCTGGTATTCAAAATTTAGAATCTACATTAACAGGTACAGATATAATTGGTAATATATTTCACTTATTCTAACGCTTAATTCTGCTTAATTTATTTATGCTTTACGTACACAATGATATTGTGACAATGTTGTAGCTGATATTGTTGATCGCAACTGCTTTATAAGTGCTTCCAAGTGTATGACAGCTTTGAAAAAAACCAATAACACCCAGGGTTTGATTATTTATACTCTTCCTACTTCTTAATTGGTTGCCACTCTCTTGCAAAACCTGGAAGTCTGGGAAAATACATGTTACAAAATAGTGGCAACTATGTGATCTAAAATAATAAATACCAATACCTAATATTAATTTTTTTTTTTTAATTTGCATAGGCATATTGAAACAAATAGGTGTGAGAACCTGTAAACAACTTACTCCTAGGTGTAAAACATTTTATAAAATGAACAAACTCTTATTAAGAAAATACAGACAAAATAGGAGCCGCAAAACTTTATTTAAAGAACGGCTGAATTCAGCTGAAAAATTTACTGATGAATATATTGTTGGTAAATATTCAAATATGATGAGTGCCACAGCTTCCATGTTTATGAAACTACAAATCCGGGAAACAAAAAAATTGAGCAAGGGACACAGATTTTCTTTGAATGAGAAAATGCTTAGTTTGTCATTATATAAACGCAGTCCTAAATGCTATAGAATGCTTTCAACACTATTCACTTTACCTAGCAAGAGAACATTGAATGCAATATTATCCACCGTTTCCATTCGTCCTGGAATTTGCTCATTAGTAATGGATGTCCTTAGAGAAAATGTAAAAAAACTCAAGCCTACAGAAAGGTACTCACCTTATATATATATATATATATATATATATATATATATATAAAGAATAAAAGAACAATGATTGATTAACAAAATGTATTTTATTTCTGTTGTTTTTTAGGTACTGTTCCATATTATTTGATGAAATGTGTTTAAGTAGTGGTCTTAATTATAAGTCATCATCAGATATAATTGATGGTTTTATCGATACCGGAGTGTACAGAAGTCAAATGTTTGGTGACCATGTTCTCGTTTTTATGATACGTGGGATAAAAAAGAAATTTAAGCAACCAATATGTTACACGTTTTGTCAAGGTGCCACTAAACAAGATGAACTTGTAAGGCAGTTAAAAGAGGTAGAAAAAAAACTATTAATCTAAATTGGTTAAAATATTGTTGAATAACAAATATTTTTCAAACAGGTCATATGTGAAGTTCACAAGACTGGTTTAAGAGTAGTTGCCACAATCAGTGACCAGGGTAGAGCAAATGAAGGCGCTATTAACATAATGAGAAATGATACGAGGAAACATTATATAAGTAATAATCTGGAGTACCGGAATGATTATTATGAAGTAGAAGTTGCAAAGGGAGAATATTTACAAATAGTTCACCTGTTTGATGTACCTCATTTAATGAAATGCATCCGAAATAATCTTATAACTAAAGACTTAACATTTTCCACAAATGGTATTAAAAAAACTGCTAAATGGGAACACTTGATACAGCTATACCAAGCTGACAGCTTCATACCTGACTGCAAAATGCTACCTCGATTAACAGATGCACATGTAATACCAGAAAAAATTCCTAAGATGAAAGTTCGAAACGCTTGTCAAGTGTTTAGTCAACGAGTTTCAGCAATAATGAATTTCCTTGCTTGTAAGTTATTTTTTTTTTACTTAGAATAATGTAATTTTAATGTAAATAATTTAATTAATTTTTTGTAGCTAAGTCTATCATTGATCCTGGTGCAGCAGATACAGCAGAAATTTTTTTATTTTTCGATAAATTATTCGATTCACTCAACGTCTCTTTTGACAAGGTAGTTGATGGGAAAATTTTCAGAACGTCTGTCAAAAAGAATTCAATACATCATCAACTTTGGATGGATAGTTTAAAAGTATTGTCTACTATGAAATTTGTTAACAAAAACGGAAAAGCCGTCAGTATACCAACAATAAAAAATTGGGAAATGACTATAAAGGGTGAGTTACTCTATTCTGGCATTATCAGTTTTCAATTAACATATTATTAATGTTGTATATCACTATTTTTTTTTTTAGGATTCCAAACATTATCAAAGGCTTTACACATTAAGGGGATACAATCATTACTTCCCAGAGTTTTAAACCAAGATTCTTTAGAAAACTTATTTGGAGGCATTAGAAGTGTTGGATGCTCAAATCCTACGTGCAGCATTTTCATGTCATCATACAAAACATTACTACTTAATAATTTGGTTTCGTCTCACTCACCTGGGGCAAATTGTGAGGATTTCACTGAAGGATGTTTACTGACGTACAAAAACTTATTTTCCATTAGACAAGAAACTCCAGAAATGCCACTTCTTTCGTGTGATTTACCTGAACAAGTTATTCCTAACCAGCTTGATACAACTCAGTATTTAAGAGACCTCACGCATACATTTATTTCTGGGTATATTATCAAAAAAATTAATAAAAACTTATTAAAAAATTGTAAAACATGTTTAAAACTAATATGCTCAAATAATACATCTAGTGAAAACTATGAGCTATTACAAGCTAGAGAATACCAACCTTCTCGACCATCTTTAAAATATCCAGCACCATCATTTGGTTTATTAGTTAGTAAAATAATTGTCAATATCACTCAATGTTTACCTTCTGTATGCCATCACCCCAAAATTAAATCAATTCTTATAGATAAAATTCTTTCAAATTTTAATCTAAGTATTTTACACTGTCCAAAGCATGATGATAGTATTCAATATAAAATTGCTGAATGCATTGTAAATTTATTTCTTCATTTTTGGTGTACCGAAATTAACAGGATACTGTCAGGAAAGCGTAAAATTAAACACAATTAAAAAGACCCCATCAAACTGTTAGCCAACTCGTGGTACGAAAAACACTCTAAAAAAAAAGTAAAAATCGGCAAATTTAATCAGGTATAAACAATGAGTAAAATATTAATTTAATGACTTAATGTGGTGTGTTCACCTTATAATATTTTTATAGCTTCCATGTTGAATATAATATGAATGTTAATTTTATATTTAATTTTTTCTTATTATTAAACTATTTATGACGTATATTGTATTATAATATATATTTTTTTTGTTATTTTATATAATTATGTAATGCAGTGTGATATGAATATGTGTTGTTCACCTAATATTGATCATAATATGAATATTCGTTTAATATTTAATTTTTTTTATTATTAAACTATTTATGTTTATACTTTATTGTATTATACATATATATATATATATATCCATTATTTTTAATTTTTTTTATTTTGTATAATTTTATATAACTATTAACTATGTAATAAAAATGATCTCTTATCAGAAAATAATTTATTGTAATTTATTACTATTTTTCTATCATTGCTCCTTTCCTTAAGTTTTAAAATTTCTAAACGAAAAATATCGATAGTAAAGGGTACAGATATCGATAATTATCGATAGTAATAGCTATCGATGGTAACTCTATCTTAGTAGTATCGTACAACCACCGGGAGCGCTCGAATACGGTTCGTTTTTATAACATAGGAGTTGCTTATCTATTATATTATACTTATCTATGCTTATAACTCATATACTACTCGTCCTAAATTCGATTTTTATGTATCACATACTTAAAAAATTTCTGCTTTGGAAAATGAAATTAAAACTCTGTGTTGTCATTCCAAAAAGTAAAAAACTTAAAAAAAAATAAGGATAGAAAATATTTAAAAATATGTTTTTTTTTTAATAAAAACGTTATTTTTTTAACAACCTCAAACTAAATAACAAACTAGTTAAGTTAAAAAGTTAAAAAAAAATAACTTTTTAACTTAACTTTAACTTTCTAACAAGTTAATGCCCACCTTTGCATTTTCAGTACTTGGCTAGAAATTGTTCTACCCATGATAGCGTTATTTGTTTTAATATATAGCTGATATAAATAAAACGGATGTTGTAACAACTTACAGTAGGCATATACTTTTACATTCACAGAGTGAATACAAAATAAGTCTATACTTTATACTTGTACAGCGCAATTATTGGGGCATCATTAATTATTATTAATAACAATAATAATTATAATTATACTAGGTATTTGCTATTGGCAATTCAATTTAAAAGTTAACAATAACTCCAAAAAAAATGCTCATAGGTAATGTCTAGGATACGGAATATAATATACCTAATCAATTCTTAGATTTCTACGAAACCAATATACTTACTTATAAATAAATGGATTTAAAATTTTCAAATAATTTTGTTTTGCGTTATTTTTCGTTTAATGATATTCTATAAATTACGTTTTGCGATATTTTTTGTTTAATGATATATTATATATATTTTTATTCGTTATGCTTTGTTTTGCGGTATTTAATTATTTTTGATTACCGCTTTTCGTTGTAATTACGTTTACAAATTTCAATCGTTATTTGTCAAATATTACGTTATAATCATATCGCTATTATAACGTTTGCAAGCCCTGTGTAGTAGGTACATAATTTTAAATACAAAATAATTTGCAAATTTAAGTTATTATGACTTATTTTGTTAAAATTTGAACTTAAAATGCTCATAACAAAATGCTCATGCTAATGTAATTTTAATATTTTTAAATGACTGTAAAGAAAGTAGAAACTTATGAGGAACTTATTGTTTTATATATGAAAATTCTCCTACCGAGTGAAAACTGTCTGCATTCAACTCAGTTATTATACTCAGTATATATTAATATAAAATATTTATGTTGGTGTAAAGGTAATTTATTTCACTATTTAATGTAACACTTCAAGTTGAATTAATTTAGGCCAAAATAATATTTTTAAATTTTTAAAAACTCGTGATGAGTACCAGGTACTAAACTGTATACTTTGTTCCTTGCGCCCGCGCCCGCTGAACTTATTTTCTGAGGGCGCCCCTGCGGGACGTCGTTATTGTTATTGTTGTTATTATTATAATAATTATTATATACAGATACGTACCAATTATTATCATCAGAGTATTATTATTTTTATTACGATACACCTACTAACTATACGGTGAATACAATAATATTATACATAATAGGTATACAAAACCGCTGGCACATATTCGACCATAAAACAGCTCTTAACTCGCACGCGACCATTTTCGTGTTACCAGTACAAAACATATATGCCACCCATTGTTGCACGTTATATCGTATCATATAATATTAAGTACACCTGAACGGGAAGGTCGGCCGTGGAGAGTTCGTCTGTCCGGCACGTGCAAGAGCATCGCATCCTTCGGGGCGAGCGTAATCCGCGGCGGCCCTGACGACGGGGGCCGCGCGTGTCGCCGCAGCGTGCAACTCGCCTTCCGTATAATGTTATAACGATAATATATTATGATTATTACTATTATTATTATTATTATGATACCCTCAAACCTACCCGCCACTACTCACCCCCCGCCGACGACCTTCGTGGTACACACGCGCCGTTATGATATACCTCGCGCGAGTACACGGTTACTAAATATTGGTATATAATATATTATAGGTAATAGGTATACGCGTAAGTATATAATAATATATAGAATGCACACCACAGCTTATGTCCCGCTCACGCTTTCGCCAGTCCTTTTACTTTGTATATAATAACATATTGTACACGTCGATTGTCGGACATCATTCACCCCCCGACATAATAGCTGGCACTAATATCGTCTGGCTATCCGGAGAACAGATCACGCGCGTTTTTGTTAATAATATTTTTTCTTCCTTTTATATACTGGAAATGTATCCGAAAGCTTTATAATATGTTCTTATTGTATTATGTAATAATCCTATAACCTAATATGATGTAATCGTATTCCATATTCGGGGGTGCTTGTGAAAATATTTCTTATACACAATTTGAAGTCGTTGCAACAATGTTGTAAAAAAATTTTACTCTTTGTAACCACTATAATTTTTCGAGTTTCCTGTTAATTGAATGACAACATACATTTTTTTTATTTCATATTCCGTAGCATCAAATACTAAGCTGAATATTAATCGGAGTATTCAAAATCAAATTTTTGACAACTCTATTATTGGTTAGAAGTTTTTCAAAAAATAAATGTTTTGTTTTTTACTAGGTACTTAAAATTATGTAAAATTTTTTTTTTTTCTAAAACATTAATTATGTTTGAAATAATCATGGGTGTCTATTGCGTTATTAAATAGGTCACTCGGTGTATTATAATATTACTCCAGTTTAGGTATATATATAAAATTATTATAAAATTCACTCCTCAACTTCACGAGTTTGCCATCCCTTATGCTATATTATAATGTACACGTCGATTATCTGACGTCATACACCCTCGACATATTTCAATATCGTGTGGATGTCCGGAGAACTCATCCCATTTCTGTTAATATTTTTTTTCTTCTCTGTATACTGAGAATGCATCCGGCAGCGTTATGCTCTATAATGTACCTATTAATGGTAACCAGAGTGGCGTATAAATATAAGATATAAATATGAATAGTGGGGGGGGGGTCTGATCCTCCCATGACTTTTATTTTCGAGGGCATTATAAAAAATTATAAACGGCTTTTTATGTACATATAAGTGATAGGTTTGGTTTTTCCTACAGATCAGATCCCTTCCCCCGACATACAAAAGTTATGTGTACGTAACTATACACAATGTGTTTCCAAGCAACCAATACACTGTGTCTGCCAAAAAAAATTTACACACTCCACAAATGTGCAACGATATATAATATTTTAGACTTTTCAAACGGTTTAATACAGTCGCCCATGAAATAGTCCTATATATAGTAACCTAGTTAGAAAACTGTGAAAGATAAAAAAAATTGAAATATATAAAAAAAAAATATTTTAATGATATTCTATAAATTACGTTTTGAGTTATGTTTTGTTAATGATATATAATATATTTTGTTAATCGTTATATTTTGTTTTATAGTATTTAATTATTTTTGACTATCGCTTTCCGTTGTAATTACGTTTTTGTCAAATAAAACGTTATTATAACGTTCGCTAGCACTGGTTTAACCCTTTTTAACAAAAATTAATTTTGCAACAATTATCAAATAAACATAAATTACGAAATTATGAACAATATATACTTTTAAATATTTAACATATTAATAAAAATGCATTCATCTTATAATAAAAATGTGCATATTTTGTCCAATATTCCTTCATAAATGCACTTAATACATTTATTATCTAAAGCTTTTTTTCGTTTGTTCATAGTCTGTTTCTCAGTTTGAAGATATTTATAAATATTTAAATGCTCTTTAAGTGAAGTAAATACCTATTTGAAATACTTCTCGAAAGTATTTTTAACAAGACACTTAAGAACACGTACCTACCTAGGTGAATACATACACTTTCATCTGCACAGGTTATATTATTGTACTGCTGTTGGTATAATAATATAATATTATGGTCGATGACACTGAAAGCTCGCAACTCACAAAGATTACCTCGAGTAAAAAATAATGTGCATTCCATTCGTGTGTCACTATTATATAAGAATGTGAATTATAATAATGGAAACAGTTGGATAAATTGATAATAAAATAACAATATAAAGGACGTTCACTTATCCTGTGTGGTCTTGGAGTACAGCAATATTCCCCACATGATACGCAGCAATCGCTTTTTTTGACGACACTTTTCACTTTGTGTATTTATATGTCGCATATTATAATAATATGCTTTAGTGGTTCAATGATACTAAATCCCAGTAGGCCTAAAATGTTTAGACACTCATAGGTCTCATATAATTTCAAAAAGAGAATCTTCCTGCAACGTTATTAAAACGTTATTATACAGATTTAAGATCGACAGAACCATATTAATATTAGATTATGAA